GAATTGTCTATGATGATTTATCCATGAATGAAAATAGAGTACATTCACCAAAAAACGTGCAATCTGTTCTAAGCCCTCTCAACAGAAATGAAAAAGCGGCCTGTTGAAGAGTGTTCTACTTCAGCACCATGGACAGTGGGAGGCCAAGAAATGCTTTAAAAATGAAGCACACAACAATATAAATCATATCATAACACTGATCTCAAAATCCCCACTGATTTCAAAAAGTTTATTTTGGAAGTATGGAATAATACTGTTGGAGAGATGAGACCTAGTGTGAAATCCTCACAAAACTAGCTTTATTATTGTTTGTATTCAGGGCAGTATCATCAATAGGAACGTACCTTTGAAGTGAGAAAGAAAAGAGTATTGGTCAGAAAGCATACATTTCAGAATTTTTGTAGAGATGGACTCAGCTTTAAATTCTGAGTTTCTGAGCAAGAACTGCAAGCATAAACACTAGGTTTCTGGATTCAAAGGGATGAAAATACTTAGAAGCATACAGCGTGCACACAACTATCAGCAACATTTTAAACCAAACAGAAGGAAACTGCACAATCCTGAGAGCTGCTTTAGTGTATACTGTATTGTTCTCAAATTCGAAGTACAGAGCTAAATAAATAAATAGACGGGCATATGCACATGTACACACTTATTGAAAAGAGAACTGTTAGAATTCAAAATATTTTAAAAGGAAATTCTGCATAGAAATACAGTGTCTTAAAAATGTATTTTTTTATTATATCTACAAAATGATTGTAGGATAGATCTGAAATGACAATATGAATGGTCACAAATCGAATTAAATAAAATATGGATTATCTTGTAAAACATGAATGAATAATAGTATAGTCAAAATGATTGATTAATAATGATATTAATGTATTTAGAAATATTTGATTGACAATATGAGAATATGTACAATGTAATTGTAATTGAAGACTACGAAGTGGAAGCACAAAACAATTTGTAAACCAACCGACACACTGTATGTATATATATGGAAGATGGCTGGATGTTTTTATGTTTTGTTTGTCTTAAAAAATAATAAAACTTTATAATAAGAAAAAAAGAAATACAGTGTCTTAAAGTCTATTAACTTCTTGGATTAAAACAGACAATTTATCCAGTGTTACACACTGAGGTAGAAAGACTGCATAGTTGCACATAGCTATAGATACTACAGCTATGTGCATAAATACTATTATTTATTTCTATTTCTATCACAACAGTCTCAGCTCCAACTTTTCTCAGTGGTTAGATCTACTCTACAGAAGTTAAGTAAGCATTCGGTCTTTAAAATAAGCTCTCAAAAGCTGCTTGCTCTTTGTTGCATAGCAGTATACTAAATAGAAACAAACTGAATCCATACAAGACTACTAAATTTAAGCAAACACAGAACACTTACATAATATCCTTTTGTGCAGAGAAGGATATATTCATGATATCAATGACATTTATGCTCAAAATCATGCAAATTTATTTTTGCCTTAGTGTAATGGGCAACCAGTCAAAGAAGAAAGAAACCCATCAAGGTAATCAAAATAGAGAGGATGGGAAAGCACGTTAGAAAATGCCAAATTATATTATGGTTTAACATTACGACTGACCCAGGTCATTGCAAACTGTGTAGATTTAATACTCACTTGTATACATAAGATTTTAATCACATTTAATGTTATAAATGTATCAAAGGATGCTTCTCATCCTACTTATATAAAGCATTCAATTATAGATTGCAAATCCTTGGTAATATGGGAATAATTTTCACATATTTCACATATTCCAATTAAACAAATATCATTACTTTTGGAGCTGGAGAGCTTTAACTGTCTGCATGTATCACCATAATATGCATTATTCAATATCAATATTCTGATACAAAATAATTATAGTCTCTCCTACTATCATCAAAATGTATTTCCGCAATATATTAATCAGCCACTGCACATAAAAGGATATTGAACTAGCTTTGAATTGCTGAGTAAGAGCATTAAATAATCTGGTTTTAAGCATGTTAATTTCACGTGAGTCCCCAACTATAAATTTATATCCTCATTCAAAAGCTACAAATTACTTAAATTATTTAAATAATCCTCTTTTTTTGCTCACTGAAATAATTTAAATTGCTTTACTTAAATCATTCCATGTTGATGATAAGAATCGCTTCTTGGCAAACAAGCACAAATTAAATTGTACTGTAAATGAAAAGAGATGAGTTTCTGAAATGTTAATCTATCCACAAATGAAAGCATTTATTTGGAGAATAGCAAAAAGAATGTGTTTATACTGCCGCTGTATTCTTCAAGCAAGTCCTTTTTCTCTGATAATTTTTCGACTTAAAATAAATCATTAAACATGTGTATGGTGTGATGTAGTAAGACATCATATAGCTGAACTAGCTGGATACCCGTGCTTCACTACAAAACTATGTGATCGGGCTTAATTTGGGGGGAGGAAAATGCGGGGGGGGGATTCCACCTCTGCCTACCAGCATCTATCGGTATTCATCTGGCTACCGCCCTGTCAGTATCTGAGAGAGTTGAGGGCTGTTTGGAAACTGAAACAATATTTGTTGTGTAAGCAAGGAGACAGCAAGAAGCCTGGGCATGGCTCAGCTCAACTGTTCTGTACTAAAGCTGCTTGGTGCTGTGAAACTGAAACTCCTCTGCTTGTGTTTTGCATTTGGAACACATTTCTTTTCAGGTCGGGAGTAGAATTTCTTAGCATCAGAGCGTGTTAATAATAATATAGGAAATATTAGTGATCTGATGGTCATTTTGAAAAATCCTTTCTTAGTGAGCACCTAGAAGCCAAGAGGAACATAGGTGCCAAATTTTAAGTTTGTAGGCTTTTCAGTTCTGGAGATTTTGTGATGATGCGTGAGTGGTCTTTTGCTTTTATATATATAAATTTTCAAAACACTTTAACAAAGTCCCTCACCAAAGCCTCACAAGCAAAATTAAGAATCATGACCCCGAAGCCTCTTTTCAAACTGAGCGTTCCTTCTCTTGTCCTTCAATTCTTGTATCACACGACACAATATTCGGCTGGGCTCTCAATTTTCCATAAGATAAAAATAATTTCACTTTGTATGGCCAACAGTCTCATCTAAGCAATTCCGGGCAACTCATATTTCATGCTTCATCTGATTGTAGCCCATGAGCATGAGTGTTTAGAGAGCCAATCAGGTGTCATCTTGTTTTGGCAATGAGCCAATCAGATCACAGTTATTTATGTTATGTGTTGAAACTGAGAGGAGGACGTTTGTCAGTGTGTTATGTGATTGCTATCAAGTTGGTTGGGTTTTTTTGTGTTCTTTCATTTAGTGAGCTTGTAAAGCGTAATAAAATTAAAGTAACGGTGCAAAGAGTTGACTGGTCACCCAAAAAGCGATGTAAAATAGTATTATTAAGTGAACAAGGCTACAGTTATAAAGAAATTAGAAGAAAAACAGGTGGAAACCTAACCAAAGGTGGCATTTCTAAATTTTTGAAGAGGTATAAGGAGACTCAATCACTACAAAACCACACTGGTAAAGGCAGGAACAGGTGCACAACAGCAAGCAATGATAGAAGAATTAAGAGACTGTGCCTACGCGACAGAAGAAAATCATCTGGGTGTATACAAGATGAAATGGTGCAATGCAATTGAAGTTGAGTGCAAGGACTGTTCAGCCCAGACTGCAGGAATTTAGCCTACAATCTAGAATTCCATGAAAAAAGCCACTTTTATCTCTCAAACTATGATTGAAAAGACTAAACTGGGCTAAAACCTATGTTATCTGGACAGAGGAACAATGGGACAGTGTTATTTGGAGTGATGAGACCAAGATCTCCCTGTTTGGTAGTGATGGCATAAACATACTTTTCCCAAAAGTTTTCCACAATTTTGGCCATTATTGTATATTACCACCTGGTTAGAATACAATGATTCTGCACAAGATTGCTTCACAAACTATAATTGGGGTCTAGAATACAGTGGCCTGCATGCTTACTGGCATCTTATGCTGGGATCATCTATTCTCCGTCCCCTGCATGGGTTTCTGGGAACGATTTTTAAATGAAGGTTTTGACCCAGAAAGTGTTGGGCGGGGGTTGGCACCTGGGTCCCTGCAAGACTCCCTATTTCAATTGGAGTTGGACCTTATTTGTATTTTCTCACATTTCCCCAAAAAACGAACGGAGCTGAAGTCAGAGGGTGCTATTCCAGAGAGCACTGGAATAGCCTCCCACAATAGCCTCCTCCTTTTGTTTTCAGAAAGATGTTAAAAATAATCTTTGGTATTATCTGAGCTTCGTGGTTTGCTTACCAACATTACTTGCTGACATTTCATTACCTGATAAGGTAATATCATCGGTGCCTGTAGGGTGATGAAACAGGCAAGCAAAAAGAGCCTGCTAAGAGTCACATGATAGTCAGATGGATGGCATATCAATTTAATAAACAAAAAAACGAATAAATTACCAAGCTCAGAGGGCATCAAGGACTCCACAGTTCAACATTTGCTACATATATTCTTTTTTCCATTAGAAATCAGCAGCACCGATGTTACCTAGCTGAGTCATGAAACGTCTGCAACAAAACAAACCAAGCTCAAAGAGCACCAAGGACCCCACAGTTCAACTTTGAACTACAAATATTCCATCAGTACATCATCATTTATCCATTTTTTTTGTCTGATTATTAGGTAATTTTATTTTAGGTTACAATGTGATTTCGGTTTGGGGTTTTATGATTCATGTTTTCACTTTTTGCTATATCATGTAGATTGCCAAGGGTGGATGATTGCAGGAGGATATAAATGTAAGTAAATGTAATCTGATAATGAACACACCAAAAATGTTGGAAAACTTTAATTTATTACTGGTAGCATATGAATATTATAAATTCTTTGCTTTAAAAATTACACCATTTCTTTCAGGAATAGTCTTTTCTCATCTCCATACCTGGGTGCAAATATTTTTTAGAAGATCTGTATATAAACTGAATCTACTTACCTACTGTCTGTATCCAGGCCAACAAAATCTTTTTTTTCAAAAGGAACACACAGAAGTGGGATCTTATCTCCAGATTTATCGATAGCTCTGTCAAGACGTTTCGACTCCAATACAATGAAGAGAGACTCAATGAAGTCTTCTATTCTCTTTTCCACGTTTTCACATTCATCATAACTAGGATAAAATGCCACATCCGTACGAGTTTGCTCTGCAATTTCTCCCTGAAGTCCAAAGACAAACAGTCGGGAATCATAAAGGGTTGAGCCATAAATTTCTTTTTGAAGGTGGAATTTTTCAAAAGTTTGAGGCCAGTCTTTTCCAGAGGAACAATCCGTGATGGTTATTAATCCCACAACTTTACGATGCGTCTGAAAATCTCCCCATTCGTTGTTTTCTGGTGGGTAATGATGTCTGTAGCGGATATAAAGAACTCGCTGAGAGTCACGGACATTGATCTGACTCACTGTTGAGATTCGTTTGTAGATCTTAAAAAAGCTCTCTTCGGGAACAATCCCATCTGGCTGGACCACAACTAGTAAAGTTTGATGATCTTCCGCACACTGCATGTAGTCTGGAAAGCTCATTTTGCAACTTACGTACGCTAATGCAAACATAATAAAACACAGAAGAAATAAAACTTAATAAAACATAGAAGGGGAAATTGCTCTACTTAAGAAGTATTCGTTTTACGAGTGATGCCTTTCTGAAACATTAGACCTATTATATAAAATCATAAAAACCTCGAATTTTCTTAAGCAGTAGGCAGCATTCGAGTCTTAGTCCCATTGGAACAGAGAAGGATAGGATGCGTCATGGTTAACTAAGCTCTTACTTTATTGTGTTATATTGGTATTATTTACTGAAATACTTTTGCTCTTCAGCAGAAAGACTGCAAACTTGGAAAAAGATTCCTCGGAGTTGAGCAAAAAGTTTAGTTACTTCAAAAAAAAAAAAAAAAAAGATCCAGGTTTTTCTAAACAGGCCAATGTGAAAGACACAATATAAGAATAGCGGATGGGAAAGAAAAAAACACAATCAAGTATCTTATAAGGATGAACTGAACTCAGTATTCTAAATTCAAACATGGCTAATCTCATAACAGCCCTGGTGACACAGTGGTCAGAATGCAGTATTGCAGGCTATTTCTGCCCAAAGCCAGAAGTTTGATCCCTGACAGGGCTCAAGGTTGACTCAGCCTTCCATCCTTCAGAGGTTGGTAAAATGAGGACTCAGACTGTTGGGGGCAAGAGGCTGACTCTGTAAACTGCTCAGAGAGGGCCATAAAGCACTGTAAAGAGGTATATAAGTCTAAGTGCTATTGCTATAATGACGTGACCATTTGTTAACATCAATCCAAGGATATGCTCCTATTTTCAGCAATTTCACCCCATCGGAGAACCAAAGGCTCCATAATGAGAACACCTTAAAGTGTAAATGGGACTGGACCAAAAACATTCCTAGATCATCCATAGAGGACATAGATTTGCACTGTCACTTTTTAATCTCATACCTCTTAAAACTGATCTCGTGAAATACATTGGATGGACATCATTTCATTATGATATATGTAGGCAAATTAAAGAAAACTGTAGACCAAAGCTTGCAGTAAGCAAAGTGAGCTTTGGTTTACTGGAAATACTAGGAATTCTTTCTCATTCAGATATTAACTTAATATCTCATCGCATGGTGAGATGGATGGCAAACAAATATAATAAATAAATGTGGAGAAATCCAAGCTTTGAAAGTTGCTCTCTCATGTGAGATAGGATTTTATGAGGCTGGAATATATCATAAATATTTATATTAATAAAATGCCATGTGATGGTGCATCTAAGCTTCCATCTTCCATATTAATGTACACCAATAGCTAATAAATAATATTCCTCCTTAAGTTGCAGAATATGGACTATTCAGAAAAGTGACTAGAAAACGAAAGAGCACAACTTGATTGGTAATATATAAATGCTGATCCACACAGCATTAAATCATGATTAGTGAATTAAATGAATTGCCTTGTTTGGAAACAAATACCAAACAAGTTCACTGACTGGATTCACATAACACAGACCCACAAATCAGCTAATCATATTTTAGTTAGCAGGTAAGATGAATCAATGCATGTTACTTCATGAATACAGCCTTACCTACAAATCATTTTTGTTACTAAAAAAAATAAAATAAAAAACATGACTAAAATGAAGCATCTAGTAAACCTCTGGTGTTTTTTCATGTAATTTTCTACATGCAATCTGTAACAACCTGGAGCTATGCAGAAAACGTATGTGGGTATTCATGTGCGGGAATGATGAAATTAGGGGAAGAAAAATGAAGTTATCTCTTCCTAATGTGCCAGGCAGTATCTAAATTTATATCTTCCCTTTTGTGCTCAACAGAAAATTGTCATTCTCTGTTCCTCCCATACCTTTCCCAGCAAGCTAATAAAAGCAGTTTGCAGGCTAATACTCCTTATTAAATTCAATGAGTATAAATGGAGTAAATTTACATATATACTGGATTGCCACCAATTTTACTGCCCAACTGTAAATTCACATGTAATCAAGCATTTATCAATTTCATCGGTGTCCATGTTCTTTTAAACTCGGTTTAAAATATAAAAATATCCTTGAGTTCAGCTGAACTTTTGGTGGATTCGTGTAGTTATAACCATGTAGTTCTGGCAGTGGTTTGCTCTCCAACCTTGTTTCAATTTAGTTTCTAAATGTTTCATAACTAGACTAGGTAAAGCTAACATCACTCTAGTCTGGTAGCCAAAAGTTCAGAACCTAAATTGAAACAAGCTTGGAGAGCAAACCACTGCCAAAATCTAAAACCCGAGCTACAAGTATTGTCTATTATTTCATAACCAAGTAGTTTTCTTCATAACAGAGAAGTGGTTTGTTACTTGTTTGTTCCAGACCTACAAGAGTGAGCTATATTAAATATTAAATTTTACCTTTTTGGTCATTAATGACAACAGAGAATTAGAAATAGGAACCTTACAGAAACAGGTACAGGAGGAAAAGTACACTTTATTTTATTTTTTCAGAAATCTAACAGCTTGCGGTTTTACTCTGATGAATAATTTACTTCTGATTTGATTTTGTTCTGCACTAGGACTTGCAACATAAAAGGCACAAAGACAAAAAAATAATCCATAGGTTGTTTTCCAAGAGGGAACTGCCAAATTGTCCTTGTTTTCAAACAAGTCATCACATACTATTTGGTCATTTGGGACAATCTCAATGATAATTTGAATAAATTATTGGTCATTAATGACAACACAGAATTAGAAACAGGTACCTTCCAAGAAACAGGTAGAGGAGGAAAAGTGATACAGAGCAGGCTTATGAAAAGGCCTGAATGATAAACATGAGACTGCCTCTGGGAAGATTTAACATGGACTTCATGAAGGAGTAGGTGAATGCTTTTCCTTCCCACTCAAACCAAAAGCACTGCCCTACTTTAAGTCCTACTGTTAGGCCCGCAAAATGAATGCCTCCAACTGGCATCTGTCCACCCACGGATACATGTAGTCCTTGAGTTACACCCATAACTGAGCCCCAAATTTATGTTGCTAAGTGAAACATTTGTTAAGTGAGTTTGGCCCATTTTGCGACTTTTCTTGCCACACTTGCTAAGTGAATCATTGCATTTGTTAAGTTAGTTAACCCGGTTATGTCAGCCTGGCTTCCCCATTGACTTTGCTGGTCAGAAGGTGGCAAAAGCAGATTGCACGACCCCCATAGGACACAGCAACCATCGTAAACATGAACCAGTTGCCAAGCATCCGAATTTTGATCATGTGACCCTAGGGCAGGGGTGTGCTTAGATCTGCCATCCTGGAAACAGCAAAGGACCGGCCTGCAATGCCTCTGCCAGAGAAAACAGAACTTGTGAGGACAACGTGCAGCCCTCCTGAGTTCTGTTTTCACTAGCAGAGGGTTGCAGGAAGCTGTCGCAGTCGAAAACGGAGCCCGGGAGTCAGTTTTTGCTGGCAGAGCTCTTGGGCCGCCACAGGTGCCCCCAACACAAGTGACATCAAGCTGGCCATGCCCACCCCACCCAGGTCAAACACAACCCTGATGTGGCCCTCAATGAAATCGACTTTGACACCTAGGGATACTGCTACCTTATGACTGGTCATAAGTCACGTTTCTCAGAGCCGTGGTAACTTAGCGCAGTCGCTAAACAAACTGTTAAGTCGAGGACTCCCTGCATTTAAAAGAGATGCCAAGGCATAAGGCAAAAAAAGAAGTTAAAAAAAGCACAAGTCAGGCACGGAGACACATTAAGACACCGCAATAATAAGCAAGGAGTCGACTCCAAAGCGTCCAAAGAGAAGAGGTTAAATTTGCAAAATCGATCAATAGATGTTTGTTTTGGACTTCAGCCTCCATCATCTCTGGATCCTGGCCTGGCCCTAAACACCTGGAAAAACCCCGCCAGGCTGCCTCAGTCCAGACTGGGTCCAAACCCGTACGCAGGCCAGGCTTTTAATCCCGATCTGGCTCCCTTGGAGTGTGCTTGGGCTACCACAACTCCCATCATCCCCAGAGGAACTTTGCGTTGGAATCCAAACACGCCTGGAAGGTGCCGGAAGGGGGACGGGAAGGGGTAGCTTCGGAGCTTCCCCGCCTCTCCTCCCCCCTCCCCCACCCCCAGCCAAGGGAAGAGGTGGCTCGGCAGCTCCCCCCCCCGGCACCGGCTCCCGCTTCAGCTGCCCCGGCCCGCCCCCGCCCGGCCGGCGCGCTGAGGGGCTCCAGAGGCTCACCCACCACTGCCCGGGCGACGTAATGGCTCCGCCTCTGCCGGTCGCTTCAGTTGGGGGCGGGGGGCCGTTTTACTGCGCAGCCGCCAGCTTTCGAGTTCCCTGGGGTGGGACGCGCATGCGCATCCGGCTCCTACGTAAGAGTTTGAATGGTCGCTATGGCGACGGCTGGTGGTTAGGGGGCAACCGTTAAGATTCGAACGGTCGCTCTCCTGAGTCTTTGACTCTTTCCGCTCAATGTATGGCTTTAGTTTAGTTACAAAAGCTCCTGAGGTGCCTGTTTGTATGTCTGTTACGCGAGTTACACACCCATCGCTCACAGCCAGCTGTTCCCACGGAGCTACCATAAGGCTGAGGCGGGAAGACGGCTGGCAATTTTTTCCTCAAACCGCCTGACAACTGCATTCGTTTTAACCCAAAGGTGCTTTTTTTCCCCCTCCAAGAGGCAACTGGACTTTCTGGTTTTGCTTTGAAGACGTTTTCGCTTCTCATCCAAGAAGCTTTTTCAGCTCTGTAAAGATTAGATTCTCCAGAGCTGAAGAAGCTTCTTGGATGAGAAGCGAAACGTCTTCAAAGAAAAAAAAAAGTCTAGTGGGAAAAAAAGTACCTTTGGGACAACCAAGACATGGATGACGAAGAATTTCCACAGGCATTCGTTTTAAAATTAGTCAGGCTTTTTTTTTAGCTTGGCGGGCATAAGTCACGAAAGTGACTTATTAAACGAGACAAGGCATAGCTGCTTCTCCGCCTCCGCTGCTCTTGGAGCGAATTGCCTTCTGGGACGCGTAGTCTTCCTTTCAGAGCGCTCCGATTGGCCCCCCCGTGAAACCCAATCAACGTTCTAGTCCCGGCTAAATTCTCCCAACGCGCTTCCGGGATTCGTCGTTCTTTCCATCCCTGCGGCAGCGGCTCAGCGGCAGGCGGAAACTACAAACCCCGAAAGGCCAGGCGAGCGCTTCGGGCTGTCAAAAGAACTCAAGGAGGGGTGGGGGGGAGAGAAGTATTTCCCTGAGCTCTGAGGTAAACGAAGATGGCGTCGCGGTGGAGCGGAGCTTCTGGCGGAGGCGAGAATCGGTTGGTGTCGCTGCCTTTGTCGCGGATCCGGGTGATAATGAAGAGTTCGCCCGAAGTCTCGAGCATCAACCCGGATGCGATCTTCCTCACCGCCAAGGCCACGGTAGGGAGCCTTGGGGAAGCGAAGAGCGTCCAGATGTGGCGGCTTTGGGGGGGAGGTTTCCGGCCCGCTGCACATCTGGAGGGCAGTATTGCTCAAACTTTGAGGCGACCCCTTAAGACAGGGGTCTTCAAAATGTGGCAAGTTTAAGACTTCTGGACTTCAACTCCCAGAATTCCTGAGCTAACATGACTGGAGGAGGAATTCTGGGAGTTGAAGTCCACCAGTCTTAAAGCTGCCAAGTTTGAAGACCCCTGGTGCCTTAAGACAAGAAGCAATGGATAGAAATTAATCAAGGAGGGATCCAACCTAGAATTAAGGAGAAATTTCCTGACTATAAGAACAATTAACCACTGGAACACCTTGCCACCAGAAGTTATGGGTGCTTCATCACTGGAGGCTTTTAAGAAGAGACTAAATGCAACGAACTTTCTAATGTATGATTAGTGTACATTCAAAGGGACAGTAAAGTTCTAAGTTCTTAATAGTGTAGCGTTTCCTACCTAAGCAGAGGGTAGGACTAGAAGACCTCCAAGGCCCCTTCCAATTCTGTTATTCTGTTCTGTTTGAGCAGGGAATTGGACTAGATGACCTCCACGGTCCCTTCCAACTATTACTGGTTTTTTTTTCTCGTGTGGACCGCAACAGGAATGGGACCACTTGCCGGGGCCAACTCTCCACAGGATGACTCTCTGTGGGACAATTCAATAATTCAATTATTTAAAATAATCTCAAGATTAAATTTTGGTCATTCACATTTCATGTTGTCCCTTCTTTTGCATCTTCTGTTTCATGATTCTGTTCCACCATTTCCTTGATATTAGTGTAACTCTTGTTACAAGCGTTGTGGCAAGTTGTCCTGTGGTGAGTTGTCGTAGACCTAACTTAACTCCCAGAATTCCCCAGCTAACAGTAATTAGCCAACAGTAGTGGTGATCTCTGATGTGTTTGAGCTGTAAGCATGATTTTTTTTCCTTTTAGGAGCTGTTTGTTCAGTATTTAGCTACTTACGCTTACAAGCATGGCCAGGGCAACGAGCACAAAACCCTGACATATACTCACCTGTCACAAGCAGTACAAAACTCTGACACTTTCCAGTTCCTGGCAGGTCAGTCTTTGTTTTGCTAATATCCTAACTGATGTGAAATAATCCCTAAAATAGAGAAAGGGGAATGTGGAATTTTTCCATGTCAGTCTTTGAAAACTGTTAAGGCTTTTGGGTTATATATATATTTTTTATTTATTAATAATGGGAGTTGAGCAGGAAGAATCCCAACCCTTTTCTTAAAAAAAAACAACACCTATTTTAGGGGATAAAATGTTTTGTTTCTTTATTGTTAAAACTATTGAGAATTGGAAATAGTTAAAAGTGTCTTGTAGATCCTGCAAATGAATTCATGGTATGTTAGGATCTATTGGCAATTTCTTCTGTCTTATGTCATAATTGTGCACAATTATTTTTTAATCTGGCTCTAATAAAAATAACGAAAAATATATCTTCCAAACCTAAAATCTATAATGCTAAAAAGTGGGATGCCCAAATTGTGTCGCTATCACAAAATTCTCAAAAAACATTTTGTAATTTGTTTTTATTTATCAAATGTGTATGCCACCCATCTCACTCTGCAAACTCTAGAATTATTTCCACAGTTCAGTGGGAAACCCTTGCAGTAGATGAGACAGAGTGTGAATTACTTTTGTAGTGATTGGAAACATTTAGGAAATGAATGAAAATAATATTTTCTTTTCTAGATATTGTGCCAAAGAAAATCTTGGCAAGCAAATACCTAAAAATGCTTCAAAAAGAAAAAGAAGGAAAAGAGATAAAGGAGGAAGAGGAGGAGGAAACGGAGGAAAGTGAGGCTGAAGAAGCATCTTGACAATATAGCTTGTTTTATGGAATGTGAACACTCTTGAATGGCTTATGATCAACTGAATTCTTACATCCTTGAACCAGTGTCAACTTTCAGAATTAGAATTGCCAAATTATGTACAATTATCTTGCAAAGACTTATGGCAAAGACTTCCAAGTGGGACTGAGCATATTTGCAGATCTTTGTTTTTCATCTTCAGCTTATAAACAAAATATAGATGATTGCTTTTAATATACCAAGTGTCCATGTTAAGCAAATACTGTATTTTCAATACAGAATCATCTTCATTGCTCACATTGGGCAAATCTAAAAGCGGGCAAATTCCTTTTACATGCCAATATTAAAGTTTTCCTTCCTTTCAATGTAAGTTGGTAAAGAGGGTTCAGATTTCTTAAAAGCGAATTGTTTATATGAATAGTTGTATATGAGCTACACTAGGATCTGTTGGTGTTCAAATTGTCCATGTTGAAAACAAAGTATTTTCAATATCATCAGTTCCTATGTACAGTAATGTTACACTCATGTAAATAAAAACTTGCAGTTTTGTATGGATATTGGGAAATTTGAAAAAAAGTCAAGTGTGAATCCTTGTATGGTTTGAAATGACATTTATATAGCACAACATTGAATAACATGACAAATACTTTTGGTATCAAAAACACTTTTAACATTTCTTTCACCTATCAAACATCAAGTGAGGCTTTGGTCAATTTGTGTACGTATCTGGATAAAGACTGAGCATTCCAACCAAACTGGTGCCATTTCTGGGGTAGGCACTGAGCCGGTGAAAAGGTAAAATTAACCCCTTTCTTTAAAAAGGGAAATAATGATAGAAAAATATAAATTCGAATTAAAAGACGTGTTACCAGTGCCGCCTTCTTTTTGAAAAGGGGCTGGATAGATTTATGGAGGATAGAGGTGTTCACACCTACTTATGTAGCCTATTCCACCTAAACTTACGTGGCTCACAGCACACTTCCAACCAGTTCAGGAACTAAAGTTCTGAAGTAGGCAGCCATCAGAAAAAGGGACACACTTAGGTTGTGTTTCCACCCGATAAATGATAACATGGTTTTCATGGTTGGGCTGATACAGTACAACCTAAACAGATTTATTCACTAAAATGTGAATTAAGCGAACCATGAGTGGTGTGAACACAGTTATTCTGAATTAAGTTCTTGAGATCGCAAACTCATTACCTTCTACGTTGTAAACAAAACATTTATTGCCAAAGAGAGATTTTTATGGCAACATTAATTGGACCACACCGGTAGTCCCCAAATTATGACTACAATTGGGACCAGAATTTATCGTGGCTGTTACGTGAATTGTGCCCAAAGTTATGATCACTTAAGTTGTTCAATGAATCATGGTGATTAAGCGAATCCGGCTTGCCTCATTTGTGAGAAGCCAACTGTGAGGGTCACAAATTGTGATCGCATGACTCCAGAATGAGCAACTGTTGTAAATACAGGCCTGTTGCCAAGCACCCAAATTTTGATACTGCTGTGGTTGTGAGTTTGAGGAACAGTTGTAAGTCACTATTTTCAGTGCCATTGTAAGTTTGAATGGTCACTAAATGAATGGTCATAAGTTGAGGAATACCTGTAGGGTAAAATTATTGAATACCATTGTGAGACATGCAAGAAATCTGCTTTCCAATGATGGGCCACTGAACCAAACTAACATTAACATGGCTTTCATCAGATTGTGGATTGTAAGTAGGGGAAGACTGCAAATCCTGAGCTCTTTGAATTATTAGTGTTAGAGGCACAAAAAAATACTTTTGAATGTGTAAGTATGAGTAATTTATTGACATACTATGAGGCAGAAACAAAATTGACACCATACAAAATAACTTTATAAAATATCATTCACATGTTTCATCAAGATTTACAGCATTTTGAGCATGTTAAATGTCTTAATGGTATGGAGGTAAAAAAAAGAACACTATGCTAAATCTTTAGTAGCACTTTATAGTATATATATATATATACACACACACAAGGGGGAAAAACAAAGTAGAAGGTTAGTTTGTCATCTTATTGCCGAAGTAGTGCAAAGTATTTTTACTAGCAAGCTGTAAAAACAAACATGGAAAAAGGACTCACCCAAGCTTAAAAACAGGACAATAAATGTGGCATTTCACAGTCTTTTTTTTTTCTTTTAAGCTTTCTTCTCCTTTTTCTCCCACTTGCCTTCCCAAAATTATTTTCTCCATGTGGGGAATGCAAAAGTCCACATTAAGACAATTGGATCCACAGTGTATTTTTAAGCAACCAAACTAAGGGTTGCTCAAATTGGCTTGCATACGAATTCCAAATATGGCGCAGCTTTTGGTTTTGAGTGTGGCTCAGCTTTCAGGTAGGCTGATTCCCAGCTGGTTTGAAACTTAGATCAATTCTTGGTCAAGAAATCATTCTTCGAAATCAAAACTTTTGCTTTTTGCCCAGATTTCGATCGTGGCAAAACCACAGTCATGCGAGTATATATGTATATATCAGAAGAGACCATATATTGCCTGTTTTACCGTCTTGGGATCCTTTTTCTTCAATTTTATTTGTGTTAAAAACAAAAACAGTCTAGAATGCAAGGCAGACTTGATATCAACGTTGGACTAACACCAAGAAAGGATCAGAGTATCTAGCGAAGAGAGACCAATTCTAAAGTCTTCAGCCGAGCCAACAATAAAAAAAATCGATAAACTAGGTAGCCAATAACAATAACAACTAACAAAAGGACACCCCACCCTACCCTGCCCAAAAGCTCTATGAAATAAAAAGGAACAAAATGCAGCATTTTCAGGCTCGTGTTTCAACCTTGAGGTACCTGTAAGTCTTCTTACCTTCTGCCCAAAGGACTATGGTATATTAAAAAACATTTTAAAATTCTTGACCGTAAGCCAATTTACAGGACTTTACTGAAAAAGTGCAATGAGACTGATCGTGTATCTGCAGCATATGAAATTGGATGGTTAAGTCTTTTATAAAATATAGCTTTTCTAAGAGACCCGTTGGGGCAGTTCTATAGCACATTATTTATTTTTCTCGTTGTTTGAGTCCTTTCTGCAGCAAACCAAATTAACTCCTTAGGATATAACAGTTTGTTTGTTTGTTTTTCCACCACTATGAAAGTTAACTCTCTTTTAAAGGAGAAGATTTCCGTGCCGTATTGGTTTCTGTTTTATAAAGTCAAATTTCCATTTCAAAAAAAATAAAATAAAAAAAATAACCTATTACAACCCAATCTCCCCCCCAAAGTAACAATAAAGAAAACTTTTTTTAGCATATAAAAGGGCATTCAATCGTTCAGAATGTTACTTGGATGCTCTATTCCCTTTCCTGACATAAACTCATACTCTACTTATTATATACAGGCTTGTGTAGAGCATATATATGAATAGTCACATATGTAACACACACACACACACACACACATGTTTTCACACACACGGCTTACCAAAATTAGTCTCAATGAGCTAAGGTGGTTCAGCCGTCCCTTCAGGTAAGGGACCAAGCAAGAAAACACATTTTTTCTAAAGTTTTCTACAGCATCCAAGCCAGGGCTGGGGTCAAAGAGACTCTAAAAAAGCAGACATACGAAAGGGACTTTTAACCATAGTTTACCAGGTTGGATGAAAACGGGCAACCTTGTTTGAGGAACCTCCTGTGGATTTCACAACGCACAAAAAAGGGAAATGAACACAGGAGACTCAAGAAGGATAACCTAGGTTAGGGGTTTCCAACTTCGGCAACTTTAAGCCTGGAAGACTTCAACTCCCAGAATTCCCCAGCCAGCAGGGAAGTTGAAATCCTCCAGGACTTCCAAGTTGAAGTTCTCCAAAGCTTTGCTGGCTGGGGAATTCTGGGAGTTGAAGTCCTCCAGGCTTAAAGTTGCCAAGATCAGAGACCCCTAGCCTAGATTATTCTGGTCATCCAAATGCAGCAATAGGACATGGGCAGGTCCCTTGTCCTGGGCAAACTAGGTTAAAAAAAAAAAACAAAAAAAAAACCTGGGCCTCACCAAGAATATCTGGGAAAGCGAAAATCTGTTTCGCTTTGAAATTTCGAAAAACACATTACCAACATTCTACGACATGACACGTTCTAATACGCAAGAAAATAATAATAATAATAATAATATGCTTTCTTTGTTCAGAAATCCAACAGTTTGCGGGTTTAACTCTGACAAAGGATTTCCTTTCCCAGAGAGGAGTCTTGGCTTGATTTTGCTCTGCATTGGGACTCACAACGTAAAAAGGCACAAAAGACAAAAAAAAATAATAATCTGTAGGTTGTTTTTCTAAGAAAGGTCCAAATTGTCCTTTTGTCTTCCAACGACAAGTCATCGCATATGGTTTGGTCGCTTCAGACAATCGCCATGATAATTTGAATTAAATTAGCACCCAACTGCTTAATCTGAGGTAGATTCAAATCGGAAAGGGAAGTGGGTCCTCTCACCACCTGATTTGCCGTCAATTAATCCCAAAAAGTCAGCTGTGAGATGTGAAAAAGCGCCATTACACAGGTTTCAACCAATGCATGTGTGTGTGTGTGTGTGTTCAGAAAGAAGCAGACGTCTCTTTCGCATCATCTTGCAGTCGGGGAAATTGAATCACTGTATACAAATCCCTAAGCTAGCCCTTTAAACAACAATTTGATCAAATTACTTCATTATTTCTCTCTCTCCCCCTCCCCTGCATCACAATTTTGCATTTGGAACAACTGTGCAGCCATACCCTGGAGTCAAACCCAAGATAATCATCCTAAAAATTCAGGAACGAGGTGCTGAAGCCGCATCCTCGGAAACAAGATTGGTTTTAAGCATAGAAATGTTTAATTAAAAAAGGAGGGGGGGGAAGGGAAAAAAATCTTGTGCCTTTGCAGGAAAAATAGTATTTTTTTAAAAAATACAGGTTTTTGCATATTCTGATTCTGGACTAATTTAATATATTTGTTAAGGCATAAGATAAAAGACACATTACCCCACATAGCATCTAGCAAGCACATAATTAACATTGCTTAACATTATATACATCGTTAATACAGATTCTCCCACACGGAGCTTTTTATTTAAAAAAAATGTACAGAATGAAAGGTATAATCTACAACATTGTTAAAGGAAGGGAGAAGGGTGGGGGAAGCAGTTTCTCAAGTGCTTAATTTTACAGTTCTGCAGAGTCGGTGAACTCTGAAAAGGTATAAACTGGTTAAGGCTGCAATCCAATGTCTCTCTATCCCCACCCCAAAATGAGACTTACTGTTGAGACCATGTAGGATTGTGCTCTAAATATGCTTAAGTACCATGTGAAATAAGGCCAGCCACCATCTTCCTCTCTCTTTTGGGGTGGGTTGGGGGGGGGGGGTTATTCAATTCCTGTGTGTGGGTATATTTAAGTTCTCGGAGGTATTTTATTCTCCTCTCAACAAAACGCGATTCAAACAAAGTGAAACCTGGATCCCAATGAAATCAAGAGGACCAAGCTGTCAACATGTCCCACGGTTTCAGTGGGGGGTTAAGTCTGGATCCCACTCAATTTTTTATTTTATTTTAAAAAGACCCTGAAACAGTTTATTATGATCAGCTTAAAATAGTCCCAGGAGATATCCGTGAAATGTTATGCCTACCAAAAGCTTTTTAAAAAAATCAAATTTCATCACAGATTCTTCCCTTCCTTGGTTGTTTCACCGAATCCTTCTCTTACGTTTTACTACCGTGGGTTAGTAGGTATTAGAGGAAATCAACATTTTTATCTGCAAGGTTTAGGAAGTCATGGACTATCTCACAAGCAATAAAACCCATGTCTATCCACCTAGAAGACACATTCAGCAAGAAAGGTAAACCACATTTTTGCTCCTGTCCAGATGTTCTGAGAGACATCCAACATTTACATCTTGAATACACAAATATCTATCTACAATTCCTTTAATGGGTGAATTCGCCCTGGGGGTGGGGGGGTGGCAGAAAACACAGAGATTTTTTTTTACAAGACACAAAATGAAAGATGGTGAAACGGTGGAGTGAACACATCTGGAAACATACAGAATTTCTCATCAGACATTTCTACCAACGGGAAATGACAGTTAAGGAATTTGTGATCCATTTTCTTTCATCCTTTCAGTTTAAAAGGTGTGCACATCACGGCCAGCTTATTATGATTAGAGGTAGGTCTTGTTTGTTTCGTTAGGAAGGAGAGCCAACAAGAAAGGAGAGCGGCGTCTTTTCTCTTCAAGGAGCTATTAAGTCCTGGATGTAGTAGTCTTTGGAGCACTGACCCATTCTTCTGCTGTGAGAACATCTGCTCATATTCGCAGCCTTCCCATGAAAGGGTGGCGGTTGAATCTAAGAAATCACTTCTCCCATCAAGCTCCGTCTCGATCAGTTTGATTCTGCCCAAAGGTCTTTATAGCCTCAGGTAATTGAAAAGACCTCACCCTTCCCCTGCCCCATAGGATCCTCTAGGTCCTATATAGACATCACCAGGACTTAAAAAAAAATAAAAATGCTACAGGGGGACAGGTTTTTCAGAACTTTGGAGGTCTATTCAGAAGGAACCATAAAAACAAGTTATACAGAGAGTATCTTAGGAAGCAGAAGGGAGGAGGAGTAGTCCCAGTTCGCCTTCTCATAAATGGGTGGCAAACTCAATAAAGGAGAATATTTGTAGCTCAGGGTTGAAGTGTGAGGTCCTTGGTGCTCTCTGAGGTTGGTGGTTTTCTTGCAGATGTTTCATTACTCAAACTAAGTAGCATTATCAGTGCTAGTAGTGAAGTTCCTAGACCAAGCCAAGTCCAAAACAACGGCTAGGGAATTTCTAAAAGCCTGGCACTCTGACAAATTAGCCATCAACAGACACAGGGGCATAAACAAAATCTACATATTATGCACACCCCAAAAAAAGACAATTAACAAACCAAAAAGGGAACAGAAACATCTGCCCACCAATAATCAGCACCCAGATGACCATAGATTAACTCCAAGACTTACACCAGACCAGCGATCAAGAAGTAAACAATACTCCAAAACAAGGAAGTGCCAAAGAAGCCCACAGTAAACAGCCCAACCGAAGAACCTCCAAGGCCATTCTTACTAATCGTGACAGGGCAAGCCACTAGGATAGAAACTGAGAGCAAAACCCACTCCTTATTAGCACTGATGATGTTACCTAGTTTGGGTAATGAGAGGTCTGTAAGAAAACAACCAAGCTTAGGGAGGAGTACCAAGGACCTCACATGTCAACCCTGAGACTGGCAGCTGTTTTGTGAGAAGGCTCATATCGTGTTCTCAAAATTCCACTCCTCCAAAGATGGGGACTCACCCAACCGCTGCATCGCTCTCCTCTCGAGCCCACCTAATGTCCTATCTTCCAACAACTCCGGTAAGAATTCATAAATGGAAAGAGGCTGCTTTCTGTCTAAGAAATTGTCCTCAAGCTCTTCCTTGAGTGGGTTGGATAGATTCTGCGCAGGGGCACAGAAAGAGAGCTCCCTCGTTTTAAAAGGACTGTTTCCGATAGGCTTGTTTCTCTCTGATGGTTTGGCTGTTTCTCCCGTTATTCATCAGGCGACTCCAGCCTTGAAACACCATCAAAATAGGGAAACAAAGGACCAACGTCGGCCAGGATCATCCCAGAATCCCAGTTCTTCTTTCCTCAACCCCAAAAAGCCAGCTTCCTTAGAACCATAGTTTGTAAAAATTAGAAGCCAGTCTGGGGAGGAGACTGTAAAAGCACCCTCTTGAGTTACGTTCTCAGGAACTGAAAGGGATTGGTGGAACAGGACATTCAAATGTACACAATGTTAGCAATATTCCGTTAACAGTAAGTTCCTTGGTTGGCTAGTGACAGCACACAGCCAGCTGGAGTCATTAAGCCAGTTTCAGTATACGGATAAAAGCCATGGTTTGCGAAGGATTGAGGAGAAGAGAAGAGAAGAGAAGAGAAGAGAAGAGAAGAGAAGAGAAGAGAAGAGAAGAGAAGAGAAGAGAAGAGAAGAGAAGAGAAGAGAAGTAGCTGAGGAACAGCG